CCTCCCTTCCTCCTCCCCCTCCCTTTCTTCTTTGTCTGATATTGTACCAGGGTGATCTAGGACTGGTAGAACAAGTTTGTAAGTCTCCTTCCCTTTCTATTTTGTGGAATTGTTTTAGAGCCTTGGTGTTGGTTCCTCTCTAATGTCTGATAATACTCAGCAATGAATCCATTGGTTCTGGGGCTTTCTTTATTGGGAAACTTTAACAACTGCTTTAATTTCATTACTTGTTATTGATCAATTTAGGATTTTTCATGTTCTCTTGATTCAATTTCAGCAGGGATTATGCATCCTGAAATATATCCATTTCTTCTTGATTTTACAAATGATTGGTGTGAACTTTTTCAAATATTCCCTAATGGTCCTTTGAATTCCTGTAGCATCTGTTACATGATCTCTTTTTCCACCTGCAATTTTATTTATCTGGGGCTTCTCTCTGTTTGTTAGTTTAGCTAAGGGTTTGTCGTTTCATTGATCTTTTCAAAGAACCAGCTCTTAGTTTCATTGGTCCTTTGCATCATTCTCTTAGTCTTTATTTCATTTATTTCTGCCCTGCTCTTTATTATTTTTTTTCCTACTGATTTGGAGTTTGGTTCTTACTTTTCTAATATTTTGAAGTGCATTACTAGGTTACTTATTTTAGATGTCTATTTTTATTTTTTTTAATATTTATTTTTTAGTTGTAGTTGAAAACAATACCTTTATTTAATTTATTTATTTTTATGTGGTGCTGAGGATCGAACCCAGGGCCTCACACGTGCTAGGTGAGCTCTCTACCATGGATATGTAGAATTCCATCAAGCATCTTTGTTGGTATGTGGTGCTGAGGATCGAACCCGGGCCGCACACATGCCAGGTGAGCGTGCTACCGCTTGAGCCACATCCCCAGCCCAGTTTCCCCAGATTCTTTCAGGAATAAATAAGGAAAAAACAGGTTGGAGATCACTGCTTTCTATCACTTTATAAGTGGAAAATCGTTATCCTGGTCTTTGGGTGTTGAATTGGTCCCTCCCCTCCCAAAGGAGTAATCAAGTTAAAATGGGGCCAGAGGTTGGGTTCTAATCCACTATCACTGTTATTTTTATGAAAAGGGAAAATCTGGGCGTAGACACTCACGGAAGGAGAACCATGTAGAGAGGTGGACTCCTGGTGACTGAGACAGAGATTGGACTAACAGCCGTGCATCAAGGAAGGTCAGAGGTCGCTGGCCACCACAGCAATCAGGCCGAGCCTTGGGAGGAAATCTACCCACAGGCTCACACCTCAGTTTTGGACTTCTAGCCTCCAGAACTGTGAGGCAATGATTTTCTTTTTCTTTTATTTTTTTCATCCAGGTTGTGAGTCCTTTGTCAGGAAAACCCTCACCAATTCACACACTCGCCATAAAATTATATAATAAGAGTGTAATAAGAAGAAGACGATGCCCTTGAATGTCACGAAATTCCATCAGTTCCCCAAGAGCCCACTGAAGACAGGCCTGAGTCTTTTTCTTTATTGGAAGGAGACTTGGCAGAGGCACCCCCGTGTTCATAGCTGCTTATCTGCCAGCTAATAGGTACAAGCAACCCCAAGACCATCAGTAGATGAACAAATAAACAAAATGTGGTACCTACGCATGGTGGGGTGTCATACAGCCTTTTAAAGGGAGGGAATCTTGATGCAGCTGCACTGTGGGTGGAGCTTGAGGCCACTATGCTGAGTGAGATGTGCTGATCACAAAGGACAGCTGCTGCATTACTGTCCTTTTATGAGTCCTGCAGAAGAGTCCAAGTCATAAAGATGGGACACTAGAGGATGGCTGGAGGGGCTGGGGAGGCGTTTCGAGGTACTGTTTGGTGCATATGGAGTTCCAGCCAGACAGGCGAAGGGTCCTGTGGGTGGTGGTAGGGACGGTGCGGCTAATGTTAGCGTGCTTAATGCCACGAACTTAAAAACGTCCAATGTCTAGGTTATGTATTTTACCACAATTGAGGAAAAAAAAAAACAGAATAGCCAATGTCAAGAGAGAAGTTAAAAGCATAATTAAGACAAAATTGAGGTGGTTACCTTGAGCTAATCAGGAAAATCAGGCAAATTGGAAGTGAATTAGATTTTAATAGCTTTCTACGTAGTCCATGTTATTTGTTTGCTGGGCAAATGTCTACATATCACCTAAGGTCATCCCACACAGTGGAGAACTATACCCTACTCAGGTGGTAACTGCCCATAAGAATGTTTTACACCACAGAGAGCCAGGCCTGGGGATCGAACCTCAGCCTCTGGACTCTCCATCAGTATGCTTTTCTTATAATATAAAAGTTCTTATTTTGAAATAATCATACTAATCATAATAATCATAATAATGTTCTGAGATATTAGACCATAGCACCAACTCTGGGTTCAGCTCCCCTCTGCTAGGTTGGTGGCTGGAAGCAATTTGGGGTGAAGGGTAAGAGAAAGAAGTAACCCTTTAATTAGTGGAGTTTCAGGGGGAGATGAGGGGGCATTAAAGTAGAAGTAAAGTGCTAAAGTGAAGAAGAATGACCAGAAACAACACACAGTCTTTGTCATATCAGTGCAACGTAACTGGAGACGAAGGATGAGGACCCCGACTTGTGCACTGTCAAATATAGGTTCTCTTGGAAACTTAAGTTACTGATAACTGTCTCTTTTGCTCCTAGTTTGTTTGATGATTCTGGCCCTGCAACAAACATAGGTAGTTACTCAGGGAGACCTGGAAACAGACACTTAGAGACATGTAATCTGGGACTAGAAGCAAGGAAGGTTGGAGATGATTTTGAGAAGTGTAAATTGGAGTACTTGAATATTTTCAGAGTAGATGTTATTTGAAACACAATCATTACACCTGAAGAATACACACTTAAAATGCTGATTCAAAACTAGTTTAGAAATTATCTTTAAGCAGGGTTGTGTAATTTTTTTGAAAACTGGCTCTCATTAAGGAGGCTTCAGGGAACAGCTGGATACCCAGTGCCTGCTGGTGTGATTCTGCAGGAGGCCCAGGCATTGTGCTGGAAGCTCTAGGCAAAGGATGAAGCTTGCCCCTAAGCACATCTCTAGAGGTAACTTTTTTTTTAAAAGTATTTATAGCTTATAGTACATTTCCTCTAGTTTGTGTATTTTCTGAAAGATTCTATACAAATTTGCATGCAGTTCTTTGCATTACATTTACAGGATTCCACTACATGAGCAATTTTCACTGATGCTATTAGTTACAATGACAACCTTCTCATATTTTTCGCAAATGCAGGATCTCGACCCATTGTGCATTCCTATCCGTGGACCGACTTGTCCTTTGCCGTTGTTCCTTCTCAAGGTTTCTCCCCATTGAGTGCTCTTTCACATCTGTGAATTGAACCAGGAGGACCAGGGGCACTCCCATATGCTTAAAACTGATAATGAATTCTCTGCATTATGCATAGTCATGTTTTCTAGAAAAGTCCTGTGAAAATAAAGCTGTCCTACATTCTGTGTTTAGGGTTACTCTCCAGTGTGGTCTTCATGTTTGTGAAAGTAACTCAAAGAAGGCTTTCCCACGTCGTTTGAATGTGGAGGGTCTCTGCAGGGTGAGTTCCTCCGAGTACTTGCAGAGCAGTGAAACAAATGGAGTTTGGGACAGCATATCAGTGCTCCCAGTGTTCCCAATACCAGATCATTTAACTATGAAGGATTTCAGATATCCCAATTATGGTGGTACTTTTGTTTGTTTGTTTGTTTTCATACCAGGATTGAACCCAGAGAAGCTTAACCACTGAGCCACTTCCCAGTCCTTTTTGTTTTAAGACAGGGTCTCACTAAGTTATTGAGGCTGGCTTTGAACTTGGATTCTCCTACCTCAGCCTCCCAAGTCACTGCACCCAGCTCAGATATCCCAATTATAGTCGATCAACCTATGTGCATTTTGGAAGGAAATTGCCTGGGATTAAATCATATTGAAATAGGCTTATTTACATCACTTGCATCTTTTGAAAATCTGCTGTCATTCCAAGGTTCTGAAAGGACATTGCTCTTTTTTTAATATTTATTTTTCAGTTCTAGATGGACACAATATCTTTATTTTATTTTTACGTGGTGCTGAGAATCGAACCCAGTGCCTCACGCATGCTAGGCGAGCCTGCTACCACTTGAGCCACATCCCCAGCTCCGACATTGCTCTTTTTTATGAGTGCAATTACCTTAGATTTCTTCTGGAATCTTTATCATCATTTTCAACATTCTGGCCTACTTTTCTCCCTGTGGAGCCCAGCTGCCTGAAGGCTTCCCACGTCCCTTGTCTTCCAACTTCTTCTGCAAAGCATCCCTCCCAGCCCACTTCTCTGGGGTGGAGTTCTCACCCAAGTCCCCACAGGTCATTGGGTCCATTTCCAGCTTCTGGGTGTCCTGGTGTCCTCCCCAGGGCTCCTGAGGTCGGTGCTGGTCACAGTGCGACAGAAGCTAAGCCGCTGGACCTCTCTCAGCTTGCAGGAGGGGTCCAGACGCCTTCTCTAGAGGTAACTCTTACTTATGGAAAATGGGGAAGAGATTAAAAGGGTAGATGATAACATCAGAGCTGGGATTTGCTTTAAAACACTTCAGCAGAGAAAAAAGGCAAAGCCAATATGTACAATATGCATTTCTTCCCTGGGGCTGCCATAATAAAGCACCAAAAATCTGGTGCAAACTCTTCTCTTTCAGTCCTGCACCTTTCCCAAAGACTTTCGGGGAAAATGAAATTAAGTGTACACTTACTACCTGAACCATTAATAGGTCATTATCCACGTGATGTGAAAATAGTATCTCACACAAAGACTTGCATGTGAATACTCATGCAATTTTATTCAAAGTAACCCCCAAATGGAAGCAACCCAAATACTCATCAACACTACTGCATAAATTGTGGTATATCTCTACAATGAAATACTCAGCTGCACAGAGAAACGAATCTCTGATACACACAATGTGTATGAATCTCCTGAAACATGTCACAGAGTGAAGGAAGCCAGCCGGTGCAGAAGGTTAATTCTGCCTAACTCCATGCATGTGAAATCCAAGAAGAGAGCAAGTTAAAGTACCAGACCAAACCACCTGGGCCAGAGGATGGGTAGCAGCTGGAGGGCACAGCCCCACCTTGGCTGTGGTGGTGTTGACTTGGCTACGTCAATATAGAAACTCATCAAACCGTTTATTTAAAATGGTGCATTTTAGTGTACCAAAAATATCTCAATAAATTGGTTAAAATTGGCTTAAAGTATATTTTGAGTGTTTCCCTGCTTTGATCAGCTTCTTGGAACACCCAGGGCCTGGCCTTTCCTGCCCTTATCTCCAGGTCTTCCCCGGAGGGGAGGCTGTAGTTATGCAGCTAGATGCAACAGAGGGGCACAGGGTTCAAGTGGAAGAAACAGCTCTTTGACATCTTGGGTGTCTGGGTTTTTGAACTAAGCAAGGAGTTTTCTACCCTAATTACACATTAAACAAACCAACCAACCCAAACTTCCTTCTCTGAACCTCAGTCCTCTGCTTTTCTATGGGGAAATGGCCTCATGGCTCTGCCAGCTTCTCCTCTTAGCCACGGAGGCGAAGCCAAAGCACTACAAGAAATGTTGGCCATTTCCTCCTAAAGAAATTCCCATACCACTAGGCAAAGATGCACAGAGAAACAGTTTCCCTTATAGGAAAAACAGAGTGTCATCTAGATGCCCATAAACGGGAATGCCACGTGCTGGTGGCTTTTTGTACAGTAAAACCAGCCATCTAAAAAGCTAAGGACAGTCTCCCAGTCACAACATGGAAGGATGCCCACAGTTACTGAGGATTTGTAGAACGTTAAGTTGAAGGGGAATATGTTTAGTATGACCCAGTTATGTTTTAAAAAATTACAAATATATGTGTATCTTAATTAAACACACAGAGAACTATTAGCACAGATTAACTCTATAGAGTAGGACTGAAAGTGAGTGAGGAGGAGAAATTTTGCTTTCTTTCTAAAAAAAAAATCTGTTTTTGCAGTACTAGGCATCAAACCCGGAGCTCATGCATGCTGAGCCTGCGTTTTCCCACTGAGCTACATCCCCAGACTCAGATTTTGCTTTAAAATGAACAAAACCAACACCTTCTTCATTAGATTTTTCCAATGAATACTACTTATTAAGAAAACACACGCTTCTCACCTTCCCTGCACTGGTTTCAGGGCATGGAATGAGGTTCCTTTGGAGGCAGACTTACCTGTCACCCTTCCCAGGAGCCATCTGCTCTCACTTGGCCCATCCCATGTGGCCATCTCTTGACTCACAGAGCCACCTCAATGAGATCACACAGAAAAATCACTGGGAATGAACCATGTGTAGCTTCAACAGTTTGTTCCAGCAAAGGAGTGCCTCCTCCTGTGACCTCTGACCCATCTCATCAGGATGGAAGAAGTGGAGCGCACCCGCCCTGGCCACAGTGCAGCTCTTCCACCAGGAGACGGAGATCCTGGGCAGGTCTCAAGCCCCTTGGATTCTCTGAGCCTGTTTCCACACCTGTCCAGTGAGCACACACTTGCCCTCCCAGGTCTCCCTAGTGCACTTGTGAGGTTCTACAGAGACGGGATGGGGATGTGGGGCAGGGCAGGTTTTGTGGGAAATGCTGTAAAACGTGGGTGTGTTATTACTTGGAGAAGGTGCTGAATTTATCCAGCTGGCCTGATTTATCAGAGGTGCTATTTGCAAGGCCTAGAAAATATCCCTTTCTTTTTTCCAGAGCTTCTATTCAAAAAGTGGTGAGGAGAGAGAGCCTAGCTTTCACCAGATGCCCCAAAAGAGGTCACGTGGAAAGTGAGAGCGGGCACCTAGTGTGCTCACACTGGCCTGGTCCCTGTTAACTGACATATTTTGCGTATTTGTCTCAGACTACAGTTTACTGATCGGAAAACTCATGAATTAAAAAAAATGTAGATCGAGGTGAATGTTCTCTCATTTGTTCTTTCATTGAATAAGTCCTAGGTGCCAGGAAGTCCAGCAGTGCACTAGGAGTCCCTGCTGTCACAGAGGTACCTCACTCAGGGGCCTGTTTAAGTTTCCCGGCTCCAGAGGGCGAAGGGGAACTCTTACCCTGTTTTGGCACTCAGCTTCTGCACCAAGTGTTGGCAACCTGGGGCCCTGGTCTCCTAGGCCGCTCCCCATGCAGTCCCAGGACACCCATGCCTTTCCTTCTCCTGCCCTGGCCTCCCCACCCTTGGCCCGACAGGCTCAAGTGGCCAGCGTGGAAGCTTGTTTCCACCAGTGTCTCCTCCCAGGGTGTGATCCTGGACGAGGCCTGCAGGAGAGCCCTTTCCCAGATGAGTCAGGCAGCCGTCATTACCTAGTGCTGACCCAGGACCGTCCTGGAAGCTGCAGTCAGCAGAGGAGCCAAGACTCACAGGGTTGGAACTCAGCTTCAAGCTAGGGGCTGGCCAGGTTTCCACTACTGCTGCCAAGTCTCCGCTTGGTCATCCTCTGGAGAGCAGGATGAGGCAGTGGTAAGAGTCCCGTTTTACCAAGGCTGATATTTCTGGGGACTCCTTTTCAGTCTTTCTCAGTGAGTGTGTTAGCAAGGATGGGCGATAGGAGCAGGGTGGGAGGCAGTGCTGCTCCAGAAGATGGTGAAAGGAGTGGTCTGTCAGAGGGCCACTGGGACCCAGCCCCTTGTGCCAATGCCAGACCCCCTCTGCTGGGATCCCTAGGGGTTGAGCCCAAGGCCCTTTACATGGGGCCACCTCCCAGCCCTTTGTGATTTCCTTATGGAGACAGGGTATCCCTAGGTGGCCCAGGTTGGCCCTGTCTATGCCATTCTCCTGCCTCTGCCCCGAAAGCAACTGGGATTTCAGGTGTGCCCCACAGTGCATGGTCCCCAGCGAAAGTCCCATCACTGAAACTTCCTGTGTCAGGGACAGCCTGGAGGGTGAAGGGGGTGTCTTCACAGAGTCCCGGTGGCTGACAGCCGTCTGGCATGGGATGCCAGGGGTGCCTCCCCAGGAGGAATGCTGCTCCCTAGAGGTCATCCACCAGGCCCTCTCTCTCTGAGGAAGCTTTCTGCCTTGTGAGTTTGTAAGGACCACGCCCAGTCCCTGCAGGGGGACATGCGCTGGCGATGACTCTCACCTGTGTAACTCTGAGGACTGTGTCCAGTCCCCTGTGTAACTCCGAGGACTACGTCCAGTCGCCTGTGTAACTCCAAGGACACCTGTCCAGTCCCCCCAGGGTGGGACGTGTGCTGGTGATGCCTCTCACCTGTGTAACTCTGAGGACTTCTCCCAGTCCCCTGTGTAACTCCAAGGACACCCGTCCAGTCCTCAAGGGTGGGACATGAACTGGTGATGCCTCTCACCTATATAACTTTGAGGACAGCATCCAGTCCCTGCGTGCGCTGGTGATGCGTGTGCTGGCAGGGCCTCCTCACCTGTGCAACTCTAAGGACACTCGTCCAGTCTCCACTGGGTGGGACGTGCGCTGGTGGTGCCTCTCATCTATGTAACTCTGAGGACTGCGTCCAGTCCCCTGTGTAACTCTGAGGTCTTCGTCCAGTCCTCCTGTGTAACTCCGAGGACAGGACACCTGTCCAGTCCCTGCAGGGTGGATGTGCGCTGGCAATGCCTCTCACCTGTGTAACTTCGAGGTCTGTGTCTACTCTCCTGTGTAACTCCAAGGACACCCGTCCAGTCCCCTCAGGGTGGACATGCACTGGCAAGGCCTCCTCACTTGTGTAACTCCACTCCATAGGTCCTCAGGCCACTCAGGCTGTGTTTTCCTGGCTCTTGTGAAACAGCTGTGGCTCCTGCAGCGTGGGCTTTCTCCCCTGCTCCCAGGTGCAGGCCACCTTGCAGACTGTGGCTTTGGTGCTGTTCCCTGGCCCCTCCCTCCAGACACCTGGGGTTGAGTGTGCTCCCCAACTTCCTGCTTTCTCGGTTCCTTCTTCCCAGAGTGAACTATAAGAGTTCGTTTCCCTCATCACTCCACATGGATTCCTTTGTGGGTACTCAACTTGTTACTTGAAGACTGGAAATAAATGGGGAGAATCAGGTCCCTACCTTCCTTATAGGAACCGAACCACAAGGTAACTAGACAGTTGAAAAGGACACGTTTCTCTTTAGAGCAGTGTTTTGCTAACGAGTGAAAAGGAATAACAGCATTAGGAGTCTGAAGGGTCTGGGTAATGACCATCAGTGCTGCCCACATCACCAGACAGGGGCAGCCAGACATCACGTGACAGAGTGTAGACCACTACTTACGAATTGATCTTGACAAAATGGGAACCTGAATCTGATTAGGCTAGAGATCTAATTTATAGAAAATACAAGGCACGGAGGACTCTACAGGACTTCAGTCCAGAAAACTCAGACTTCAGGAAAAGCAGCAGGACAGACCACCCAGATTCTTGAAGAATATCAAGGCGAAAAGGGGGGCAGGGTTGGGAACCTATGGATAAAACATTCAGAGGTGTGCCAGCCAATCCAATATGGGGCCCTAACTTTAACCAATATTCAGACCAATATGCTAAGAATTTTATGACAAGCAGGGAAACGTGGACATTGGGCTTTTGGTGACACTAAAGTATTACTGTTACTTTAGGGGTGAAAAATAGTTATGATCTTTTTTTCTAAAAAATTCTTATATTTTAGATATATGCTGAAATACACATATATATGAATATAAGTTTACGATATGTTGGATTTCCTTCAAAATAATCCAGAGGATCATAAGGGAAATGGGCAGGAGTGTAAGCTCAGCCATAGATAACCATTTATGCTGGGGGGATGATGGGACACAGGAATTCATTACACTTCACTTTTGCATAGGGTTAAAAATGTCCAAAAGTTAATATAAGAATTTAATATAACCATCAGAAGAAAGGATGTGGAAGGTACAACCTCCTCACCATAAGAGAGGCCCAAAATGAGCAAAGCCCTCAATTGAACGAGGCAGGAGGGGAGAAATGGGAAGGGCTTGGGAAGCATTTTAAGGAAAGAACATAAAGTCAGATTCTAGTAATAATAATAAATATGAATGAACAAAATTTGTCTATTAAAATACAGATTGGGCTAAAAATAAAAAACATTCAGTTATAATTTGTACAGAGAACTTTTAAAAAATTAAAAAGGAAAATAAAGGCATAGAAAACATCTACTATGAAAATTACATGGCAATAAACAGAAATGAGGTTCAAAGAGCTCAAACAGGTAAGAACTGAAATATGTGAAGTAGGATTAGCAGCAAATGACCAGTGGTGTTGTGAAGGGCAGCTTCAGGCTGCAGTGGGAGCCACAGCCGGGCTTCGTCTCCAGGAAAAGCAGGCACGGGGGCGTGTGTGTATTAGCAGGCCACGAGGGCCACCCATCTGTCTTGATCTATGTGTGGAACCTGGTGGAATTTCCATGTGAAGATGCAGAGGAAAGGCAGAAGTAGAAAATATGGTGGAGACAGAAACCTTTCTGGGAAGAGAAGACTGAAGATGCAAGACCCAGAGCACCGGGGGTGGGGGCAGAGAGAGTGGACAAGAAGAAAAAAACGCCTTCTATTTTATTTTTTCTAATTTATTAATTTGCCATTACACAAACAGTACATGAATGCATATTCATCAACATGAAACATTACAGTTAAAGCTAACGCACCAAACTCCTGCTGGCAGTCCGGTGGTATCCTGCGGGGCCTTGAGTGTGTGCCCAGCACACTAGTGCACACATTGGAAGTACAGTGTGCGGCATCCGCACGTGGGAACACGGGGCTGTGTGTTGACAATGGTGTCACATGGGTTACATGTATTGCTCTTCAGTTTTTACTCCCACAACTTTTCACAACTTAACTTTGTATCCCAGATCTTTCTGTGATGGTGCACTAGGCCTCTTGTTTTTCGTTGGTACTTGGTACTTTATGACGTGTACTGTATTCTACTCCCTTGATGGGTGTTTGGGTTTTCCAGTTTTATACTATGACAAGCAAAGGTGCAAATGACATTACTGTGTAAGCCGCCTTGTGAGCACGTGCATTTCTTTTGTGTATATATTAAAAACTAGAGTTGTCGGGTCACAGGGCATGTGAATATTAAGGTTTAATTGTGCCACCCAATTGCTTTGAAACATAGCTGGGCCAACAACCTGTCAAGTACCAGCAAGGTGGGATTCCTGCTTTCCACACCCTGCCAGCTCTTGATTTACAGATTTATATTCTTTTTAATATTTGCCCCATTGGATCTGAGATGGTTTCTTGTATTTTCACCTGCATTTTCCTTATTTTGCTGAGGTCAACTCTCTCTTCCTGTAATTATTTGCTTTTCCATGGTTCAATTTCTACAAAGGATATGTGACCGAAAGAGCAGAAGGCTTCCTGCTAGTCCTGGTGGAATCCATTTTTGTGAGAGATCTAAACCTTTTGCTTTCTTCCCATATGGCTTTGCTGTCTCAGTACAAGTTGACTAATTCCTTCTTTCCCTACTGATTTGAAACACCACTTTTGTCATATACTCAGTATACCTTTGTGTTTCTTTCTGGATTCTCAGCTCTATTAAGGGATTTGTTTTTGGCATCAGGCACCTGAGTTATTCTTAACTTGGTTCCTGAATGGTAGCTGCTTTTGTCAGCCAAGATATGTTTTTTTGTGAGACAATAGACAGTATAATTCATGACACACAAATCCTGTTCTAGCCAAGTTAGATTTAAATCAGTTTCATTATCTACTAAAAACTTAGGGTATTAAAAAATGTGTAAACTTCTATCTCAGGCTAATTTCTCTTTTGCGGGAGTATCTCATAGCCTCCAAGTAGAGGTGGGAGGCTTTTTATTTTTAACCAGTTCCTCTTTCTAAAAGCATTGTTTAATGTTAGAGCTCCATAGGTGATTTGAAGTTGTTTCCTGGCAAAGGCACAGAGTTTCACATGACATGGCAATGTCACTGTTATTTACATGAACCTTTATCTAATAAAGTCTGAGGTCCACACACCATGACCCTGAACCTGAAACTGGCACTGCACTGCTCCAGCTTCGGCCTGTCCATGGATCCTGAGCTCTGGGAGGGCACGGATCATGTCCCTTTCATCTTTTTATCCCCAAATGTCTCGTACAGGGCACAGCACCTACACTAAAAGAGAATGGAATCACATTTCTACAATGTTTTTATAAAACAAAACAATGTAACCCAAATTCCTCCTGAACTTCACTTTTGGCTGCTTTATAATTTACACATTTTTTTTCTTGTCTATACAAGTCTGCCACCTGATTAAGTGATACTGTATATTTATTTCTAGTAGTAATACTAGAACTAGACACTGACCTGATAGTACCTCGTGCACACGTATGGACTTGCTCTGGTTTGATCTATCTATAGATGCGTTGCTTGCCTGAGAATGACAGCAGAACTGTGATCTAGAAAACATTCTGTATGGCAGTGGGAAAGAGCACTTTGTTGTTACGTGGGAACATTGCAGGCATTCTGGAGGCTGGAATGAGAAGGTAGCCTCGATTTTTTTTCATGGGAGAGTTGTAGGGTTGCATTTGTCTTGTTTTAAAATTCAGTTTTTTCCAAGTTAGCACACCTTTGCCTTCCCTTTTTTGAGGGGTAACTATGGCTTCTGTAGGCAATGTCTTAAGTCTGTAAATCTCTGGATCTGAGACATTAGGCTGCAGGAAAATACTTCAAACAGCCTAATCTATCAGTTTCCCTGTGCAGAGAAAGAAAAATAAAGCTAACTCACCCTCCAGGTATGTTAAACCAATTCAATGACCAAGTGGACTGTGCCAGTGCAAAACACCAGCTTCTTACTTTGCCATCACTAATCTTGAAAAGCTGTTTTAGTTTCTTTATCTGATGATTCCATTAAGGGGTGGGGGTGGAGGGGGAGTGCAGATGTCTGTGAACTTAAACTTGCTTTATACAGTGCCTCACATAGCATGCCATACTAATTGTACCCCACTCAGGAAATAGTAACCATAGCACTTATATAGGTGATCCTTCCACCTACAAAGAGAATATATGTATTTGAAGAGCAGATCTCCGTATGGATTTCTGTGACCTGGTACAGAATTAATGAGACAAGGATATATTCTGGAATGTCAAAAAAAGATAAACTGGTGCAACTGTACCTCACAGAATAATAAATGAGTAGTATTGCTAGAAAATAAAAACATGGATTACTAGGAGGCTGGAGAAGGGCAGTGGCAGGGGGCTGCTGCCTGAACTGGGGACTGATCTAGAAGTCTGCTGGATTGATCTCCCTCAAAGGACAAAAGGCTAAAACTTGGCAAAATCTAGTCTGACTAGTGTTATCAGGATCCAGAAGCCATTCATCCTTTCAGAGAGCAAGAAACATCTCTTTAGGGAAAGGCTTTGGAATTATGCTAATCCTAGTCACCATAAAAGGATTAAATTTTATTAACCTTTAGGGCTGAACTGACAGAGGCAGAAAGTGATCATCAAGGTTCCTACATGTCCCCCACTCTTTTATTAGATTCTTGAAATTTCTTTTAACAGGAAACAAAGACTTTGATTTCATAGAGATATATGAAATATATGGCTGTTGGACATAAAAGACGGACTCAAACTTTCAAGTATGAGTTGGGGCTCTTTGATTTTCCTTGAAAGGGCAAGGAAACAAGACATCTGATGTTGGGAATGGAACATCCATTGAAAAACGACACAGAAAGTCCCAACACACACTTCCTCCACCAGCTTCACAGGAACTGCCTGTGCAACTTTGCCTTTTCATCATTTCTTCTCTGAATTCCTATTGTCCCTCCAAAATTATTTCTTAGCTTCCAGTTTCAGCCCGAAATCGACTTCCCATCTGCCACTGTATCTGAGCACATATCATACTGCTTAGAACCATTCAATAAATCATTCTTGCTTTCGAATAGGTGCCAAGACCACCAGGGCTAGTGGGGTCATCACTGCCACTGTTTCCCAGGAAATTCTGGGGCTCACTTAAGACTCTTATTCATGTTTTCTGCTTTAAACCTCTGAGCACTGTTTTCTTGTGCTTGGAATGCCTTTCCACTTGGCTCTTGTAACCTAAAACTCAGATGTCACCTCTTAGGAAACCTACTCTGACAAAGCCATCTTTTGTACAAGTACCAAGTAAGGTTTTTCCCCCCCAACTGGTGCTTTGTATCTGTTGTATCTGTTGTCTGTAACCTTAAACTGTAAATCTTGAAGACTAAGCTTTGTCTTTTTAACAGTATTATTGAAGAGAATTCAATCATATCAACCACTGGGCTATATAGCTTCATTTATAACTTAATTATAATTTGAGTTAAAATAATTTTTTTTTTTTGGTGTGTTGTCTTTTGAGATGTTGCAAGTTCCAACATCACATTGGAATTATATAAGATGAATTTTCTTTGGGGAAGATCATATTTGAATTATATAGATACAACTGTATTACAAAAATTTCTACTTTATGAATTCCTGGTTGCCTAAATAAACCAACAGAACACTTATGTAGCACCCAAGTCTGTAGACACTACATTGAGAAATTAGAGATACACAACATACCTATAAGACTGCCCCCAAATTGAATTTCAACCAGTTAATATTCTATTTGGAGCAAGACCCAAAGCTTCAAGGTAAAACTGAAAGTTACTCAAGATCCTAAACAAACTAACCCATTGGGGGAATGCTCAGCACTTCCAAATACAAGTCTAATAGCTTTTCCACTTTATCCCCGAATGCGAGGTGTGGATGTAGGGACTTCTCTTTGCAGCTTTCTTTTTTTTTTTAGTGGGGGTGGGAGGTGCTGGGCTAAAGGGAGAATTTTGAGTTCTGATGGAAGGAGAAAGTAAGCAGAGGGCAGGCACAATAATTTTGTATATCTGACATTGCACCAAGAGTTCTTACATCACTGAACTGAAAAGACTATTATTATTTAAGGCTCTTGATACATATTGTCAAATTTCTTTCTCAAGTACACAGAAAAGCCTGACTTACTACATTAAGCCCTGTTATTTAAAAGACACAACAACTGGTTAAAAATATTAACTTGTATTTCTTAGGTTACTAGAGGTTGAAACTTCAGAAACCACTTTATTTCTCCTGTGAATGCTTTCCTCTCCTTTTTAACATTAGTAGTGACTGCTGTTACCATTTTAAACTTTAACATATTAATTTTCTTGATCACAGCTACTATCCTTTATAAAATATTTCTGTCCCCAGAACCAAAAATTTATCTCTTACTTTCACAAAAATTGCAACTTTTTTTTTTTCTTCCCAGTATTGGGGTCAACAACTGCAGGGCCCTACACGTGCCAGGCAAGTGCTCTCCCACTGACAACATTCCCAGCTCTCCCAAGCTTTTCTTGCATGTTTTTCTTTGAGTGAAGCACTCACTGTTAGCACTGAAGGGTGCACGCAGCACATCTTTTAGTTAACACTCCCACTTCACATTCTATCTTACCCACTGTGGCTCTACTTCACGTTCTTAGGGTGACTATCAAGCCTATATAGATAATAACTAGAAATATTTGAAGGAACTAACATTAAAAATGTGTTCGCTGAAAATACATCCTGCAGCAACTAGAATATAAAATATTTGGTAATCCCATGTACATCTCAATTTTATGCCTTTTGTTTGTGGATAATCTGATTAAGCTTTTATTTCAAATAAAGAACACTTATCCTCTTTAACATGGAGAGGTAACTACCATTTCTCATTAATTCCTGATTAGTTCACTGGCTATAGATAGAGCATGTAAATTTCTACAGGCACCTTTCTGAATTCAAGTAAAAGTTTTGGTAGACAAGGATTTCCTACTTAATGTAATATGATTATTGAGTACAAATATTGCTCACCATTCTAGCAATCTTCAAATTATTTACTTTGAAAATTTAAGAACTATCATTAAATCATTAACAACACAGGTTTTCACATTTAAGGAATACTCTGAACTGTGAAAATACAAATCTAGTCAAATTTTGAACACATATAGAGCCACATATTTCAACAAAACTGCAGTTTAATTTCAGAAAATGTGTTAAAATATATATTTATACATCAATTTCTGACATACACTTAATGTGTTAGTATACACAAAATGATGCTTTCTCTTGAAACTGTATTTATGAAATGTACATTTTAATTTAAATACTCAGTATACACTGCACTTAATCTGCATGTTGCATTTATTAAATACATTAAAATCTGCAATGTAACAAAACGTTTTCTGCATACGAAATTCAAAACACCATTTTAAATGAACAAAAGATGGCTCACTTCATTTTTGTTTTTGTACAACTAGCGTTTTGCACACTAGCTCAGCTCCACCAAACCACCTGTTCGTTCTTTTTTTTATTTGACATTGTTCACAGACTAGTACATATTACAATAAGAGTGCTGGATAAAAACATGAGGTACGAAAGTGGTTCAAAGATTATAGGTCATGCAGATCATGCTAGACAGCAAAGAAAATTGTGACCGAGAAAACACTAAATAAAAATACATAAAGAATGTGCATTATATATATAAAAACAAAACAAAACAAAAAAAAACAAAACAAAAAACAAAACTCCATTACACAGCTTTGCTTCTTTGGTTACAAAGTAGGTTGAACAATTTCACAGCTTTTTATTCCCAACCAAAAGAAAAGTCATACGAAATGTCAGAAAGCAGAGGAATCGTGGCAATTTCTCTATTAGAAAGTAGAAACAAATGAACAAAGTTTTCTTCATCAAAATAGCCCAATTATTTATTATATCACAATAACTGGTGACTACCTGTACAGCTGCACTACGTTCTTCATACTTACACTATACAAAATTTACATTCAAGCTGGGTCTTTACTACTGAAAATAAATACCAAAGCTAAATTGCCATTAGTGTTAGAAATATGCCAGGATTCTTTTGTTCAATTATTGCCTAAACGTTTTATCTATTAAATGCAATCCTGTCTTTCAATTCCTTTACTGATATTTATAATTATTCAAAAAAATTAAAAAAGTTCTGTGACATTGTTCATGTACATTATGAAAATAGCAGCCCTGTAATAAATAAAACACAAATAAATGAAAACTTATGTAGGCAAATGTTACTGATGTTGAAAGAAAAGTGGCTCTTTAGATGAACTGTTACTTATGATGTGGTAAGAAGGCTCAAGGTAAATCCATGGTAACAGGAAACATGGAGAGCCACCAAAACTCTTAAAGACCCTACTCATGCGCACCAGGTGAAATGCAGACTTCTGCTTGCTTTAGAAAACCCCATCTATTTTTCTCCGTGTGTACTGATGACATAGAACTGGACATCGACAGCGCTGCATGACATCTTAGAGAGGAAAAGCTCTTGTAGAATGATTGTCTAATACTGAAAAGGCCAAACACACAACCAAAGCATGGCTACTTGCTTTCGTATAAAGTGGGAAGAACAGCAGTGGCACACAGATGGATTGCTGTCAGTGTTTTCCTTAGTGAGGCTTAAGAAAGCTTATGCTGAGGAGACATTCGGCTGCTGCGGAGGCTGCGCAGGCGGTGGAGGCTGTGCTAGCACTGCTTGCTGCTGAGAACTGCTACCAGGATTGGCCTGTTGGGCTGGGAGCTGGGATAACTGATCATTGTTTGAAAGAGATTTTAACAGTGCATTTTCTCGTTCAAGTAAAGAGTTTCTTTCAACTAATTCTTTTATTTGTTCCTTTAGAACTTCCACTTCTTCTCTTACTGCATACATCAAATGGCTTTTCACCAGATCCTGTGAAAAACAAAATTAGGAATATCAAAAATAGAAAGGAAAAGGCATTGCTTTTTGGTTCTAGACTACTTGGTGCCCTGTAAACACAAAGTGTTTTTTTATAAACAGTGTTTTTATATGTTTTCCTGCTCTTGCTTTTAATGTTCCTGCTATATCATGACTAGGCCTATGGGTGATGGGTTGAGTAAAATCTAGTTCTCAACTAGAGCAGCAAGTCCCCAGTTTTTTCTTTTCTTTTTGAGACAAGTTCTTGATATGTTGCCCAGGCTAGCTTTAAATTTGCAATCCTCCTGGTGCCTCAGCCTAAGTAGCTGCGATTAAAAGTATGCACCATCAAAGTCTTCTTTTCAAAATTTTGGATGATTTCCAGTAATATTCACTCCCTCAAATCAATTTAAGCTTAGAATTAAAAAAAAGGTTTTAAAAAAACCACATGCTTACATGTTGGAGTAATGCTCCAATGAAAAAATGATATTAAATCAGCCGCAGAACTACTTTAGAGAGAGATAAAGTGACAGGGATTTAGATTAGCATTTACTTGAGAATTCTGATTATACTTTCTCTATTTTTATTTCTACCAGGCAAGATTGAGTTAACTCTATTCTTTGACATATTTAACTATTTCAAAATGTTAAGCTTTAATATCAGTTTTAAATAACTGAAAAAACTCTAAAATTGTTTATTGCTTCTTTTATGATTAAAATCCTGTAGCAAAGGAATAGTTACCATGCTATTTTTTAATCTAACAAACTCTTGTCCTTTATTTCTTTTACAGAAGAAACAGGCTTACAAGATATGGACAATGTAATTTCCAACTCTAAAATCTTGGAATTTATTTTTCCTAACAGTCTGAGATCAAGAGTCCTTATTTATAGCTCATCTATACTTATAATGATCTTTTTTTTGTTTTTTTCCTTGTGGTGCTGGGATTGAAGTCAGGGGGTGCTTTATCACTTTATCCTATCCCTTTGTATTTTCTGAGACAATCTCATTAAGTTGCTTAGACTGGCCTTGAACTTGTGATCCTCCTACCTCAACCTACCAAGTTGCTAGGATTACAGGCATGGACCACCATGCCTGGCTACTTTAAATATTCTTGAATCAATGTATCTTAAGGGAACACCCTCCCCCTCCAAAAAATGATGGCAACAGCAGAAACCAGAACCTGAAACCAGTCAACTCATTGAAGCTCATGGAGACATGGCCTTTGATGAAATCACCATGCTCAGCTGCGTGATTTCACTGGTCCCTTCCAATGGCCCTTTCTCAACCGTGATGCATGAAATATAACATGTCCAAATGGGAGAAATATTTACTCAGCTTGTATCTTTAGACTAAAAATTCTCAGTGTTCTAACATTTTCAACTAAATCTCATTACCAAAAAATATAATCTAGTCAACTTTTAAGAAATTAGATCTTGGGCTGGGGATGTGGCTCAAGCGGTAGCGCGCTCGCCTGGCATGCGTGCGGCCCGGGTTCGATCCTCAGCACCACATACAAACAAAGATACTGTGTCCGCCGAGAACTAAAAAAATAAAATATTAAAAATTCTCTCTCTCCTCTCTCACTCTCTCTTTAAAAAAAAAAGAAATTAGATCTTTGTTATCTAGAATTGATAAGTACAAAGTGCTTCACAGGACCCACAATCTATGAAATTAGAGGACTATAAACTTTTACTTACCATTGCTTGTTCTATTTTGTTGTCAATGGCTACAACACCTCCCCCAGATGCACTGGAAAAAATTAGAATATTTCATTAAATTATTCTAAAAAATTTAATCTCCCTTCCAACTCTTAATAATGTAAAAGACATTTATGTTTTATTTAAAACCAAATATGATTGCATAAAATAGCTTATTAATAAGTCTATTCTCCCAATTTCAAAACTCAAAGAGTTCTATTAACAAGAGGATCTCAGTAAATGGATAACTTCTCAAATTCCTTTGTAGTTCCAACATTTATAATTTGCCTACAATATGCATATGCTGCCTTAAAAGTAACTCTCAATTTTATTCAGAAGATCTCATTTCAGTGGTCTTCAAAGGATAGTTTGAATGAGTAGTACCCTTTTATCTCTTACACTCCACTCTACAATCAGTCTCATCCCTCTCGTGTGGAAATCCCAGTGATTACTTGTTGTGTTAAAACTCAGATGATGATTTAGAGATGGCCTCTAAAAATAATCCAGAGGGCTTTGGGGGCACAGCTGGTTAACAAGGAACTCAACATTCTGGCAGACCTACATGCTTTGATTATAGGTTACCTGCTGGCAAAAATCACGTAATAAGGCATGTGGGTTAGACCAGTTTTTCCTGAAAACAACTGAAAGCAGTCTAGCCAGGATGTACACATCCCAAGTTTACATGCTAATTCAGCACTTGTTTGCTAATGACTTAGAAGGCTGAATATTTGTCCTCTTTGGTGGTTTATATTCTCCCATGTATTAAGTAATAAAAGTAGGAAGACTATATTTTCTTATTGGTATTTTTATCAATTTTGAAAAACAGTAGGTTTTTAAAAAAATCACTCTTGTAAAAGAACATCTGATAACTTTATTATGTAAATATAAAGGTCTTTAAAATAATTTTTATACAAAACATTTCTAAATATACAAAGTCAGAAGAATTTGGTACTAAAATACCAGAATACTATTTTACTTTAAATGGTTATATCAGATTAAGCCTCAGAAATATATTGTTCAAAGTAGTTGTATCTTTTAGATTGTGATCAAAGAAGATCTGGTTATAATTCTGGTTCTGCTACTCACAACTCACCCCTGTGACCATTAGCAAATCATCTACTTAACTTCCTTGGACCTCAGCATCCCCATTCATAAAATGAAGGTGTTGGTGTCAAAACTTTAATGAACTTTCCTCTTCTAAATCCCTGAAACTCTGGGATTTAGAAATTGAATTAATACCTGGAAAACACTATGTTTTGTTTATTTGAGCATTAACTACATTGATTACAGCAAATTGTTTCACTCATTGCTGTTGCCATTTCTAAGATGAAAAAGATTTTGTATACCTAATAACTGGAAAGGATATACAGATCGTTAACAAATACTTTATACACAGTGGGCTTTAAATGCTTGTAGAGGGCTGTGCAAAGTAAAATAAGACTATATGCAACTATAAATTACAGAAGCATATAAACTATGAGGATATAGTGTAACATTCAGTGCCAGAACCAACCATACTTGGGCAAAAAAAAAAAAAAATGGTGACAAGGATTTAGATGAGCATTTGCTTGAGAATTCTAATTATACTTTCCATATTTTTATTTCTACCAGGAAAGAGTTAATTAATTCTATTCCTTTGACATATTTTATTTAAATACTTCGATATGTTAAGCTTTAATATCAGTTTTAAACAACTCAAAAAACTCTTAAAAATGGTTTATTGCTTCTTTTTAAATGATTAAAATCCTGTAGCAAAGGAATAGTTACCATGCTACTCTTTGAATGTTAATCTAAAAACTCTTGTCCTTGATTTCTTTCACATTAGAAACAGGCTTACAAGATATGAATAATGTTGTAGGTATATAGATGCATATCCCAATTTATGGATAATATTATAGGTACATATCCCTTGAAAGGTACTAACCCATTTTGTCCCATTGTACTAGATGTGGAAAACCTCAAAAACTTAAATGCTGTATATATTTAAGTATATGATAGGTGATCATATATACTGCCACTAAAAATTAACTATGATTATAATATTATAATATATATAAGCTCTAGAATATTATTGCCAATTTATTTTAATGTACATGTGTAATTCTGTGGAAATATTTACAGAATTGAAAACTCGGGACTTTATGGGTTAGTAGTTCAAGTCTGTTGAGTGCTGTACTCTTAGTAGAATTAAATCAGTCACAGACATGATTATTAACACTATAATGACCTGTGACTACTGATTGCTGTTACTTTACTCAGTAACCTAATGCAGTGGTCTCAAGCTAGCATACAGTCATCTGGAGGTTTGGTAAAAACAGACTAGTGGGCTCTGCCCACCCACCAGTTTCTGATTCAGCAGGAATAGGGTAGACCAAGCAATATGCATTTCTTTCTTTCTTTCTTTTTTTTTTTGTGGTGCTGGGGATTGAACCCAGGTCCTATGCATTCGAGGCAAGCACTCTACCAACTAAGCTATATTCCCAGCCAATATGCATTTCTAACAAGCTCTAGATGATGCTGATTCTGCTACCTGACCATATTTGAGAACCACTGGCTTACAGAGATGACAGTTATAGAAGGAAAAAAAAGGGGGGGAGGGGAAGGAAAAATATCCCTAATTCTAATATAAAAATTTCAAGCTTGGTATACAAAATTCTTCATGATCTTGACCTATGCCTTATATGGTCTCTTTTTAGTTCTTACACTCCATCTGGCCTACTGCATTATGGTCTTATATAACTACCTACAATCTGAGGAATATAAGCTCTCTCGGGTTTCTTTGGCTTTGAAGAAAATAATCCCTCATTTGGAAGTGCAACTGTATTCCACTTATTCCTTAAGATTCTCCAGTGTCATCTCTGATACCTTTTCTAAGAGTCAATTATTCTACTCCTCCTGCAGTCCACCAATATTCACATTTTTTTTTTTTGCAATGCAGGAAGGTAGAATAGCAAATTCTGGCTCCTCCATATACTCACTGTGTGAATTTTTAGAAATTATTTAACATTTACAATTTTTTCATCTATAATAAGGATTATATGCACTAATTCATGAAACTCTTATGAGGATTAAATGAGTTTTAGTAGTACTTGAAATAGTTTCTAGCACACTGAGCATTAAATATATAATAGTGACTATTTTTACCACTATAATACTGCCACCGTTGATCCTGTTAGGCTGATCACCCCCTGACACATACCTTTTTTTTGGTATTGGAGATTTAACTCAGGGCACTATACCACTGAACCCTGAACCATATCCCTTTCTATTATTATTTTGAGACAGGATCTTATTATGTTGCTTAAGGGCCTTGCTAAATTGCCAAGGCTGGTCCTAAACTTGCAATCCTTCTGCCTCATCCTTCCGAGGTGCTGGGATTATAGACATGTGCCATCATGTGTGGTTCCTTTGGCTAAATTCCTCAGGAGGTTCCATATCTTCACTTCTGTGAAGATGTGAATACAGTGTTTGGCACATAAGAGCTCAAATGTATACTGGCAGTAATTAGAAATGGTAGTGATCAGATCTGAAACAAACACTGGATGACATTGGCAAGCCATCCAAAAACATTTATTAGTTTGGGTTATGGGGAATGACTCCAGGGGCACTTTACCACTGAACTACATCCAAGCCCCCTAACTCCCCTTTTAAATTTTGAGACAGGGTCTAAGTTGCCGAAGGTCCCACAGACTTGTGATCCTCCTGCCTCAGCCTCCCAAGTCTCCAGGATTACAGATGCACACCACCATGCCTAGCCAATTTTTAGAATTTTGATCAATCCATAGTTTTCAAAGTGAAGCTCCTAGATCAGAGGATCAGCATCATGTAGGAACTCACTAGAAATGGAGATACCTGGATCTACTCTAGACCTACCGAGTTGGGTACTCTTGGGATGGGGCTACTGATAGGAACCCTCCTTGTGATTCTGATAAACTAATGTTTGAGAACCATTGCTTTAAACAGAAGATTTATAATAAGGATATCAATATGGCACTCTTTAGCAAAAAGAAGGTACTATTATATTTCAATATCCAAGAGTAAGGTTTAAAAATACCTTATCAATGAGGGTAGAAAGGTGTATTCTATGGTGTTCAAAGTTAATAGTGATTTAGTTTTTAATATGAGAAAGATTAATAAAACTAAATGAATAACTCCCTTTCAAGTTTCTTTTCATCACCTAATGTTATAGTATCACAACTTTTATTATTGTATTCATCACATCATATTTTGATGGTTAAGGAGTTTCTCAACTTAAGCTACCTAAGGCTTCCCGTCTTTCTTTTTAGTACTCTCAACAGAGTGTACATATACCAAGTACACAATTAGGTACCCCAAAGGCAGTTAAGAATAAACCGTATGCTTTAGATGAAATGGTGTGCATATGTACAGCCATACTCAAACTGAAACAAATAAATTTCAAACCAAGTGCTATTATTACTGCCTCAGAAGCATGGGGAATATGAAGAGTTTAGAATCTTCCCTTTTAAACTATTATTATGTACACTGTAAGTGCTGAATAAAGCCAAAGAATAATTTTAAAAAAGAAACTTTCTGTTTACTATGGACCTTGATAGCATTTACACATAAATTAAAAGTTGCAGATATGGAAGAAATGAACAGAAAAACAGAACTGTGCAAAGATAGTAAGAATGAATGTATTATCTTTTATATGATAATTTTTTACTTACGAGAATTGCCCTATAAGAACCAAATGAGCTTGAATTTAGTAAATAAAGCCAACTGCCAACACATTTACAGGAGAAGTCAAACTGAAGGTATCAATGCTGGGGGAAGACAGCATAGCTTCCTGTGCTCTTCTAACTTATCCCAACTGGCTCCCACCACAGATTTGTTCTCAGGTCTCCTTAATATTTAGGAGAGCCCTTGCAACCTCACTAAGAAATGAGGCTGGGTAGGTAAGAACCTCTACTTCACAAGTTAAAATCAGTGAAGGCAAGGATAATCTAACTTGATTTCACATTAAAAAAAAAAAAAAAACTCTTCATGAGAAATCAACTTTTATCTTTATCTGTAGTGATGTGGACAGATAAT